TAATATACATTTTCCAAGAACTTTCTGAAGACCTCTTCACATAATTTTCTAATCTGTCCCTGAAGACTTAACAGGGTGATCTAAAACAAAATCATCCTTTAAAAATAAGAACTCTGGCTATTAAATATACTCTTCTGATTAACCTTGGGTGACAGATTTTAAGATGTCATATTTCTGATAATATAGATAATTTAATATGCCAGCTAGTTATTTTAGGAGCCATAATTAGGATTTACATAAACAGAAGAATTGTAAGACTTATTTGATCTGTTACTGTACTCCATGGTTGGACCAAACTTGGAGAGGTAACAGCTAAGCAGGGATCTTTTGCCTTCAGTTACTTTGTATACCCTCAGGACTACCATGCAGCCTATGAGGCTGTCTTTTATTTCTAAGGAACAATTTATTAAATGTGAATTTCGACAGAATTCATAGATTAGCATGAAGATCTTGAATGGCATTGGAATTACACAATTTTTCAATTGTTAAGTTATATGTGTATGCATACACACACCATGCCCTTATAGTCCAATTAGCACAGTTTTATCAATAATAGCATTTCAATGCACACATTACTTTCAATCACATACTTGGGCACATACAGCTATTTTGAAACAAAACCCAACAATACATTTCTATACTAAACTATACTCTTTCATAAAGAAGCAAGGTATTTCATTTATACATAATCTTTATGCCTTGTCTTTGAAAACTCAAAACTAATGCATATAAAAGACTAACATCCGTGAAGACAAAAAGGTTTTTGTTTAAAATAATGCACTGTTTAGCATCTCAGATATGATAACTTACATTCAAATAACAAAAGCAGATGTTCTCCATTAATATCTTATAACTCAAAATATTAGAACTAGAAAAAAATTTTTCCTTGTATTAATTTCTTAATAAGTTAATAACAGAAGTTTTTATAGCAAAGAAATAAATCTGATTCAACAGTATAAAAGAAAATGCATTAATCTAAATATTATTTTCTTGATGAGTTCATTTGATTACTTGAACTTCATTAGAATAATTCCCTTACCTGAACAGAAACCAGAATTTAAAGAGTAATTAAAAAGAAAAGTGAAGAAACTGAACCAGTGTTCAACAACTGCTAGAGGACAATCAATCTCAAAAATTACCATCTGCAATAACTTTCCTACTATTTAAAAAACGATCTGCATTCAAAATTACATAAAGTGTGGATGTTACAGCTAGAGTACTTATTAATCTTTTAGGAACCCAAGGTAATTTAATTTTTGAAATAGAACTTCAACTAATTTGTAGCTCCTTGTATTATATATATATACATATATATATATAACATAACATATATGTAATATATGTATGTGTATGTGTGCACGTGTGAGTGTGTTTTTATATAAGTAAAACAGTGGAGTCACCACTGTGGCATAGCAGGTTAGGTAACCATCTCAGACACCAGCATCCCATATGGGAACCGGTTTGAGTCCCAACTGCTCCACATCCAATCCAGTTCTCTGCTAATGCACCTGGGAAAACAGCAGAAGATGGCCCAAATCCCTGGGCCCTTTTACCAAGTGGGAGACCCAGACGAAGCTCCTGGGTCCTGGCTTTGACTTGGCTCAGCCCTGGCTATGGCAGCCATTTGGGGAGTGAAGCAGCAGTTGGAAGATCTCTCTTTGTCTCTCTATAACTCTTCCAAAATAAATATATAAATCTTTTAAGTTTAGTAAAAAATCAATTTAGAAAAAGAACATGCCTGTTTAATTCAACACAAAAAAATCATTATTTTGGAAAATGTATTAAGAAACTTTTTAAAATATTTACAAGTGCAAGTTAAAGTACTTCTTTTTTTAAATTATTGAACTTGAGAAAAACATGAATGAAAAGCACTAATAAGCAGATACGTTTATCCATTCATTAAATACTTTATCTTCACTGCATTTTTCTTCTAAATAGATCCATGTGTATCAAAAGTTAAAGACTTAAAACTCTTTGAAGTTGGGCAATTTTCTTCTTTCAATACACTCATTACAAGTATTGTTAATGATCTACTAGAGAATAAGGTATGTATTTCTTTTTTATCTCAAATGTTCCTTCATCATTACTGCATTTCATAGATGTTGATTAACAAATCCTATTTCTACACCACAGGTTTACAAATATCTCCTTTGACTTTTTTAAAGGCAACCCAACACTTCATTTCCTCTTCTTTCCCCTTCTATGACACCAATCACTATCTAGTAATCTATATTCAGTCACTTTATTTTGTTTCTATTCCCCTTAGTAGAAGGCAAATTCCACATGGGCAGGAATTTTGTTCTGTGTATAATACATACATTGTGCCAGTGCTTAACACATAGTAAATAGTTCAAAAATTATTGAGTGAAATGAACGATGAATAAAAAATTTTATGGAAATCTATACTCAAATTTTGGAAGAATGATTATTAGGACAAAGGAATGTAGCTGACTATAATTCAAATCATAGCACTAATAGCATTTTCATTCATTAGTTAACAGCATTTTCATTGATTAAAGAGTATCTAAAGCAAATGAGAAAATGTTACTATTTGTTAAATATATGTGATACAGGTTTGTTACAGGATCAGCATTTTTAAACAATTTAAAATATCTTTGGATGTGCTACCCATAGATTCAGAGAGCTGACAATACTATCAAAACTCTTTCATTTTATTTTTTAGACTACAGAGATGTTTGCCCTTATGATTAGCTTTAAAAGATTAAAACAATTTTTGAGCAAGCTTTTTACAGAACCAAGCAATTAGTGGCACATTAATCTACTACCAGGCACTCAATGTTTTTGAGGAAAGAAACACTTGACCTGGCAGTTAAGTTGTTGGTAAAAATGCCAAAGTTCCACATCAGAGTGCTTATGTTCAATACCTATCTCAACCTCTTGATTCCAGCTTCCCATCAATGTAGACCCCACAAGGTAGCAGTGATGGCTCAAGTAATTGGGATACCTTAACTGAGCTCTGGCTCCTGGCTTCGTCCCACAGCCCTGATCATTGCAGGCACTTGGGGAATAAACCAGCAGATGGAGGCTGCTGATTTTTTTTTTTCCTTCTCTTTCTCTCTCCCTCTTTTCTTCTCTCTTTCTCTCCCTCTCCCTACCTCTACCCCTACCTCCCTACCTACCTCTCTCCCTACCTCTCTCTCTACCTCCCCAGCTCCCCCTTTTCCTCTCAAAAAATAGATTAACAAAAGAACACCAATTTATGTAGTATAACTTTTATGTAACAGTAATCTGAAGAAAATAATCAAAGAAATGCAAAGCAGGAGAAACATAGCAAGACTTGTTTTGTTAAGATTCTTTTTGGTACCTCTGTGCAACACTCCTTTTTTCTGCATATAGGGTAGCACCCCTCTGGAATGAGGGTATTGAATATTTTGGAGGAAGGTCCAAGAATTCTTCTATGGAGTACTTCAAGGAAGAATGGTGGGAAAGGGTCACAGAGAGACTTTCCTGTGCCTGCTCTTTTCTCAAATGCCAACAAACCATATATTGGGGTAGTATATCCCAAAAAATGTGATTAACAAAAATACCATGTATTCCATATATAAGTAACCCAATTCCAAAAACATAAGAAGAAATTGATATATATTAAAATAAATAATGGAGACAAGATAATATTACATTGTTAGGATCAACTAATTTGAGTAATATTTACTTCTGTAACGATCTCACAGCCCCAACTGAGCTATTCTCTTCTAGCTAGCTTTGATTCATGAAGCCAAAACAAAAATTTTCCAAGGAATAACATTATTAAATAATGTCAATAATGTTATTTCATCAAATCATTAAAAATCTCCTTCTTAAAAATACCAAGCAATATAAAACACAAATGTTAGCCAATTCCAGCATAACTTTCCAATATTGCTATGACTTTAATGTTAATTATGTTATCCACATTCTTGATAAAACATCAAAAGCAAAGAAATCTGTTATGATAAACTTATGGTAAGAAGCTATTTTTAAAAGAGTCATTTAATTGAAATTAGAATAAATGCTTTGTGAGCATGAGTCTAAAAGAAAAGATGAGGTAGGCATTTGGTCTAGTGGTTAGGATGCCGCTTGGGATGCCTGTGTTGCTTAATGGAATGCCTGGGTCTGAGTCCTGGCTTCAATTACTGACTCCTGCTTCCTGCTAATGTGAACCCTGGGAGGCAGCAGTGATGGCTCAAGTAATTGGTTTCCCGCCATCCAAATGGGAGACCTGGACTGAGTTCTTAGTTCCTGGCTTCTGTCCTTGCTCTTGTCTGGGGCCACTGTGGATATATAGGGGGTTAACCTGTGATAGGAGTGGTCTCTGTCTCTCAGTCTCTTTCTCTATCAAATATTTTTTAATTAAAAATAAGAAAAATGAGTAGCGGACATTGTTCTCAAAAAAAAACAAGTTTACAAGTTAAAAAGCTATATAATCTTTCCATCAAGTTCAATACTCAATCATAATTATTTTTAAAATAAGATTTTACTACCTTTTGATAAAGTACTTTACAAGTTACCTCACCACGACCTTGTCCTAAATGATTAAAAGAGGCAGAAAATTCATTCAGCTATATATCTTCATTTGTACTGCCTTGTCCTCCCATCTCGAGCTAGAACTCAAGGCAAGATAGCTCTGAGTGACATCCTTAGCATGCTTTTCCTTGGAGTATTAGGAATCAGGTATCCAATGAAGAATATTATGGAAAGACCTACATTTTTCAGGAAAAAGAAGAAGGGTTGTAGTAGAGTAAGCTGTCTCTCCAGATATGGTGACGTGTCCTATTCATATGACAGAGTCATGAACAGGAAAGGGGACAGAACTGGTTGCAGAGGACTGGGAAGGTAGCTGTATCCTAGAATTTCAAAAAAATTGTATGAAAGGTTTCTTCCCTAATTCATATTACTTAAGTGAGGAGAGGGTTGGGAAAAGGAGTAGTGAGTTGCTGAAATCTTAACATATCCTGGATATGAAAAATATACTGTAGTATTTAAGAATGTATAAAAATTACCTTTTTAACAGTTTTATCTGGTTCAAGAGCAATATCTGGAATGTTTGCGTCAACCATCAGAGAAAACAAATTCAAAATCAAATTTGAATACCTAAAAGAGAGCAGGAAAAAGAAAAATGCAACAAGTTAGAACTTTGCAGTTATTTCTCAAATCCAGAACATTTCCAGAAGTAATGACACTTGGATTCTTTTTTTTTTTTTTTTTGGACAGGCAGAGTGGACAGTGAGAGAGAGAGACAGAGAAAGGTCTTCCTTTGCCGTTGGTTCACCCTCCAATGGCCGCCGTGGCTGGCATGCTGCGGCTGGCGCACCGCGCTGATCCAATGGCAGGAGCCAGGTACTTATCCTGGTCTCCCATGTGGGTGCAGGGCCCAAGCACTTGGGCCATCCTCCACTGCACTCCCTGGCCACAGCAGAGAGCTGGCCTGGAAGGGGGGCAACCAGGACAGAATCCGGCGCCCCGACCGGGACTAGAACCCGGTGTGCCGGTGCCACAAGGCGGAGGATTAGCCTAGTGAGCCGCGGCGCCGGCCAACACTTGGATTCTTATAATTACTCTTATCCAATGGAAAATAATGTGAGGCTATTCCTCAGCAGGCCCAATAAAAAAGCAACTCTTGAAAAAATCTTATTCTCGGGCCTTCATTTAACATCATTTCTAGCTCCCCTACTGTGGAAAAAACTTTTAGAGTAACCATCTAATGATGGCATGATAGTAAGTACACCCTTTTCAGAAGAGATTCAAAAGGAATCCACTTTATATCTACTAGCATTTTATAACAATGACAGTTTGTCTTTGGATAATGATAAGAATCTGCTACCTAAGACCACCTAAGTGTGTCATGACTAAATGAATGAAATGGAGATGATATCCCACTAATGACTCATGAGTATCATAGAGGGATACTACTTATAATTCCAGGAACTATAGTAACTGACCTGGATATAAGTAACCCTGAATGACAGAAAAAGTAGCTAGTACTCAACTGCATTAAAAATGAGTAAGACACCTAAATAATGCTAAATAATGCTAATAATAATGCTAAATAATCAGGAACTAAAATCTATTTTCACCAACCCTCAGTCATTCCCTTCCCCCAAAAAGCAGAAAGAATGTTTCTATTCAAATGGTCACTAACACATAGAGCATATGGGGAAACATAATAAAAAGGAGCAAATAAATCTATACTGGGCACTTTCTACCTCCAGAATACCCTTCCCTTGGGCAATCACATTCTGGGTAGTCCATTTTTATTCTTGTTGAGAGAAAAAGACATTCAGTTTTGACTTCAGGTATGGATGTGTTTAAAGAAAGCTTCAGCTTTTAGAAACGAAGATTTATAGCTGGTCTCAGAAAAACTGTCAACACAAGTGCCTACATTCCTTTATGCATGGAGGTCAGGATTCAAGTAATACAGAATTCCTGTCATCTACTTGTCTATAATAAAATTGCACAAGTTACTAAAAAAAAACTTAAAAACTTGAAGTATAGTAATGGCACTTGTATACAAAAAGGTCTCTCTATGAGTTTCAAATTACATATTTTTATCATTTTTATTGCTGATGAAAATCAAGAGAGGTTATAATAAAAACTTCTACCTTGGGGCCGGTGCTAGGGTATAATGGGTAAAGCCGCTGCCTGCAGTGCTGGCATCCCATACAGGCACCGGTTCAAGTCCCAGATGCTCCACTTCTGATCCAGCTCTCTGCTATGGCCTGGCAAAGCAGTAGAAGATGGCCCAAGTCCTTGGGCTCCTGTACCCATGTGGGAGACCCGGAAGAAACTCCTGGCTTTGGATCTGCACAGCTCCAGCCACTGCGGCCAACTGGGAGTGAACCAGCGGATGGAAGACCTCTTTCTCTCTCTATGTAACTCTGACTTTCAAATAAATAAATAAATCTTTAAAAAAAAAAAAAAAAACTTCTACTTTGTAATCAAATTGGCCCTAAAACACTTAATACTTTTAAAAAAGGTATAACAGCTAAATAGCTTTAGCGGATCTTTAGGTTCCTGATTTCCTTGAAAAATTAATAAAAATATAAGACAGATGCTATTCTATTTCTATTTATATGGTAATTTTATTCATTCCACCATCAAATATTTCCCAAGTACTATACTTGCTACATACAGTATTCTATACACTAGGGATATAGTAGTGAGCTGAACCAAGAAGGTTCGTATTGCACTCATGAAATTTACATTCTGGAGCATGGTGGGGACTCGCACAATAAACTGAAAAGCAAGATTAACTTTATTTAGGTTGCCTGACAAAAAGATTTTAAAAAGAAAGAGAAAACACACACACACACACACACACACAAACCAGGGATACTGGCCAGAGACTTGATGGGGTGGAGAGAGAAGAAATCCTCTTAGGGAGGTACAATTTTATTTTTAATGAACTGAAAATTAATTGCATTTAAAGAGTGGAGTAACACATTCTGAAATGCATTCTTTATTTTTAAATTTCATTTATTTATTTAGAAAGGCAGAGCAACAGACAAAAAGGAGGAGGCAGATAGAGCTTTTCCATTGGTTCACTTCCCAAATGTCCACAATAGTCAGAACTGAGCCAGAGTGAAGGCAGAAGCCAGGAGCTCCATCCAAGTCTCCTACAAGGGTGGCAGCAGACTAAATCTTCCACTGCCTTCCCAGATACATTAGCAGAAAACTGGATTAGAGGCAGGGCATCTAGGACTCAAAATGGTACTCTGATATGGGATGCCAGTAACAGTTAATGGCTTAATTTGATGTGCTATAATGCTGGCCCCCTGATACACATTTGTAAAAGCTTTCACTGGTCATCTTGTAGATATAGGGAACCCACATCACAGAGTTCCATGTGGAAAAGTAACAACATGGAAGCGATCCAGCTATGTTTTGGTGAGTGGAAAGACTAGCCAATACTTAGTAATAGTATCAATGAAGACGGGGAGAAAGAGGAACTGAATGTCACCATGACCATAAGTAACAGGACTCTAATTTCTTCACCAAAATTTAAAAAATAATAAAAAAAAAAAAGCTTGACTCAAGTAGGAACCGGATTTTAGGTGGAGAACTGAGAATTCCATTTAGACATACTAAGTTTGACATGATCACTAGATTTTGAGCAGAGATGCTAAGTAGGCAGTTAGATATATTTCAGAGGAGGTATCAGAACTGGTATTTGAAGCCATCAGTATTTGGGTTACATTTAAAGTTACAGGACTGAATAAAAACAGATAAGAGGGCTTGGGGGAAACAATCCATAACTAAAACTCTTTATAAGGATAATGAGATTTCTGGATAGTTTATCAGAGGTTAGAAAGATGGAAGAAAACAGTAAAAAAAAAAAAAAGCATGAATGACTAGTGAGGCAAAAAGAAAACAGGGCAGTGGGTTTCACCAAGTTGAAAGAAAAGATTTTCAGGAATAAAGGACTGGTCAACTGTGTTATAATCTGCCAAGAAGCAAAAATGGACATTAGGTTTGGAATTTATAACTATTTATCTTGATAGAATTAGTTTTGGTAGCATAACTGGAATGGAAAACCTTACTGCAGAAGGTTGAAGAAAAGAAGGCAAGTAAGTGGAGACAGAAAGATTTATTACAGTAGAGAGTGGAGAAACAGGGTAGAAGTACAATTTTTAGCAATACCCTTGGCCTCTCCCCCTTGATGTTTGTAACAATCATCAGTTGTGATGATCAAAAATGTCTCCAGATATTGCCAAATGTGACCCAAGGGGAGGAGGGAGTACAAAATAGCTCCAAGCTGAGAACCAGTGGTTTAAAATCAGTAGTGAGCACAACACAATCGTTGGATTTTCTTCAGGAGCATACAGCTGTTGCTGTGTATGCATGACACAGAAGGAGACATGACATAGGAAGAACAGGGTTGGGGTTTCAGCAGGTGAAGCCATAGGACCGGATACAAATGTCTGAGATAAAGTTTAGAGGAAAGGGCAATAAGAATGATTACATTTTGGAACAAAAGTCTAGTAGGGAAAAGAAAAAAGTGAGAATATGAAGTAAATGAGTTGTAAGGGTACAAAGCATTGCTCAGAGAACAGAAAGCTTGGGACTGAGATTTTGGAGGACAATATTTACCAGTATTGATTAGATACAGGCACTATGTGAAGAAGACAAAACCTCAAGAGACCAGTGCATGGCTGGACTATCATCTTGGATACTGAGGTCACACTAACAGTAAAGGAAAAGATAATGAAAATTTTCAATGAATAGGAATGATGGGAAGGTCAGCAGCTGATGGTTGATAGTGGGTAACATATCTGATGGTATGGTCTTTAATGGAGTTAGATGTGTCTACGTTTTTCTCCTACAAGGGACAAGTAAAGAAATAGTTTGGAAGAGGTATTAAGCAGCTGGAGGGGCAACATGGCCTTCTCTGTGAGAATAAAGATGATTTACTTGAGTAGGTTGTAAGGGATATAGTTAGCAGAATACAGCCAGATGGGCATATGACATTAGGGGAAAATAAAAAAAGATATTGTTTTAATTAACCCTCAATTATTCACACTCTGCTTTGTTGATTACATAGCTTCTTCCCATCTAGCCACGGAGGAATCCTAAGAAATCTATCAAAGAGTAACACAAGGAGAGGAAATCTGATTGCCCATTCGACTGACACGGGGAGTTCTCAGAACTGTCTCTCACAATCAGCTCCCCATGTTATTTTGTTGGGCTGGCAGGATCTATGTTAAAATGTCTGTTTTTACAAAGGCAGAGTGTGTGTTTCATTTCACAAAAGCAAATATCAATGTTTTCCGGATTATCTGCAAGTTTAACCATCCATACTTCTATTGTTATAGCAAAGACAAAGAATGAAATACAAATGGAACATTCTGTAAGAAGCTTAAATACTTTGTGGATGATTTGTCACTACCTTAACTGTATTAATCTTTTACATCTGTTGTCATTAACCTGCATTTTGCCTTTAAGACTTAATAAACCAAAACAAATTATATATTTGTTAAATAAGATGTAAAGGTTACTGAAAGTCTTTAAAACCAATATTAAAAAGCAACATAAGGTCAAAGTTAAAAAAAAATGATAGTGTAGGGAAGTAAGCAAAATGAAGTCTAGACGAAGATGGTAAAAGGACAAGAAATAATTTGATTTTTCTTTAAAGAAGCACATCATTGAAGGAAAACATACTCTGTTTTACTCATGTTACTACAAACCTTCATGCTAGTCATACAAAATGGTTTAAATTTTTCAAGAAAAATATTCAATACTGAAAATAAAAATGTAATTCACTATATGAGATTAGGGACTTAACATTATTTCAGAGGGCTATTTTTCCTACATTTCATATATTTTATATATGGCAAATATCAGAGTTGAATCCAAATAGTTATTTAATAAGTATACTACGTTAAGAAGGGGAAATCTGGGGCTGGCACTTTGGCCCAGGAGGTTTTGGCGCAGCCCTGGCCTGAAGCACCAGCATCCCAAATGGGTGCCAATTCTAGTCCCGGTTGCTCCTCTTCCAGTCCAGCTCTCTGCTATGGCTGGCAATGCAGAAGATGGCCCAAGTCCTTGGGCCCCTGCACCCACGTGGGAAAGAAGCTCCTGGCTCCTGGCTTTGGATCGGTGCAGCTCTGGCCACTGCAGCCATCTGGGGAGTGAACCAGTGGATAGAAGACCTCTCTCTGTCTCTACTTCTCTCTGTAACTCTGACTTTCAAATAAATAAATAAATCTTTTAAAAAAAAATGGGGAATCATTTAGTTAATGATGAAAGGTAGTACTGATGTTTGGTGACTCAGCAAGCATTAAGACAATATAAGAACCTTACCTGATACAGTTAAATGCATTTCCACTTTATATGTTAAAATTCATGACCAAAAAATGTAAGGTCATCTTTGCGTCAACGGTGTCTAATATGGTATTTGACATTAACATCCGATTTAAAAGAGTTAAGTTTACCTTGAATACTTTAAAGTATTTCAGTGTTACTATTGTGATGGCAATGTAAAAATAAATGTACAATTGCTGGTATTATATGTACTGAGAAGAGAGGACATATTTTGTTACATGAAAATCACTATACCATTAAAGTTGGTCTCAAAATCTGAACAGTTGTAACCATTCATAATTGAGTTCAAAAGAGCTCGCTCTGCTTCTGTGATTCCATGGCCTTCTTGTTGAAAAAGCTAATCAGTAATCAACAAATATCATAAAAGAAGGTAGTTGTTCATACCTAAAACCTCCACAAATAGAAAATGTCAAATATAAGCTCTAAAAACGGTTTTTAACTGCCAGATTAATTCTTATGCCTTAAAAGTAATTTTTAAAAGTAACTGCATCATACTCTAAAACTCAACATTTGAAAATATGTTGGAGTGAGTGTTTAGCCTCGCAATTAAGCCACCAGCATCCAACATCAGAGAACCTAGGTCTGATTCCTAGCATTGGCTCCTAACAACTTAGACCCTGGCAGACGACAGTGATAGGTGACATAATTGGATTCCTGTCTCCTACCTGGGTAATGTGGATTGTGTTCCCAGCTCCTGTATTTGGCTTGTCCAGATGCAGCCATAATGAGCATTTGGTCAGTGAATGAGTGGACCCTCTCTCTATTTTTTTCTCTGTCTCTGCTTCTCAAATAAATAAAACTTCTGAAAATTCTTAAAAAAATAAATACTGCTCAAAATATTAGGGTATAGCTGATCTTAACTGAAGTGCAGTAAAATTTTTAAAAATAAAAAATAGGGTACAGGTAATCACCCTAGTGGTTAAGATACAGGTTAGGATATCTAAATGTTATGCTGAAGTGCTTGGGGTTTGAGTCCCAGCTCTGCTCCCAATTCCAGCTTACTGCTAATGTGTACCATGGAAGGCAGCAGGTGATGGCTCAAGTAGTTTTTCTGCTACTAATGTGGGAGCCAAGACTGAAGTTTCTGGCCCCTGGCTTTAAGCTAGCCCAGCCTAGGATAAAGCAGGCATTTCCATGGAGTGAACCAGTGGATGGTAGCTCTGTCAGTCTCTCTCTTTCTCCTCTTTATTTTTCTACCTCTCAAATTAAGAAATTTAATGGCTGGTGCCACGGCTCACTAGGCTAATCCTCTGCCTGCGGCGCCGGCACTCTGGGTTCTAGTCCCGGTTGGGGCGCCGGTTCTGTCCCAGTTGCTCCTCTTCCAGTCCAGCTCTCTGCTGTGGCCTGGGAAGGCAGTGGAGGATGGCCCAAGTCCTTGGGCCCTGCACCCCCATGGGAGACCAGGAGGAAGTACCTGGCTCCTGGCTTCGGATCGGCACAGTGCACTGGCCATAGCGGCCATCCGTTGGATGAACCAACGGAAGGAAGACCTTTCTCTCTGTCTGTCTCTCTCTCACTAACTCTGCCTGTCAAAAAAAAAAAAAAAAAAAGAAATTTAACAATAGAAAATTTTCATGAAAATTTATCTGAAGATTTAGATTAAATCTCCTGTGACTTTGTACAGAGAAAGTTAACTTTCGCTCTGCATACATTGCTTCTCAGCCTTTTGGCTAAGATCAAGTGTAGTAACTTTGGCTCTACATTAATAACCTTCTGCTGTTTTCCCTCTCAACAAAATCATTACTAATCCATTTCCAGTGATAGTTTATAAACCACATTGTTTCTCTCCTGCTTTGAGTTCTCTTGGACATTTCTAAGAATATTATTCCATATCCGCTTGTTTCATCACTGAGATAGCCACAGTTCCATGTAGTTCTCTAGAGGCTTTGACTATTTCAACTGAAATTCCCACAAGTTAAAGTAGAACTCTCATCTCTATGAAGCACTACCAAGCAAATCAAAAAAACACTGATTTTTTTCATTATTCTTTGAGTATTTCAGAGGAGTAAAACTGAGCCATTCTTCCACGCAAAGGATGTGAGTAAAATGCGTATTAGAGAATCTGGGACACGTGGAAGACACTGAGTTTACAATGAAAAGCTACTCACTGCAAGGCCATAGTCAAAGTGGAAGTTCTCTCCTCCCTTCAGAGAAAGGTACCTCCTTCTTTGATGGCCTGTTCTTTCTACTGGGATCTCACGCGCAGAGATCTTTCATTTAGGTCCTTTTTTTTTTTTTTTGCCAGAGTGTCTTGGCTTTCCATGCCTAAACTACTCTCATGGGCTCTTCAGCCAGATCCGAATGCTTCAAGGGCCGATTCTGAGGCCAGAGTGCTGTTTAGGCCTTGTCGAAATAAGATCAAAGTCGGCAAGCTCAGGGGGCTTCCATGGCCTTGGCAACTCATGACTAGAGCTTGGGGAGATTGCTGACGCCTTAAACAAGAGTGTCAATTTGTTAAGTCAACAACAGGAGTCACTGTGCATTTACTTCCCATGTAGGATCTCTGTCCTTAATGTGTAGTTCGATGTGAATTAATGATATGACTAGTGCTCAAACAGTATTTGGCAATTTGTGTTCCGTGTGGGGGCAAACTGATGAAATCTTTACTTAATATATACTAAATTGATCTTCTGTATATAAAGATAATCGAAAATGAATCTTGATGTGAATGGAATGGGAGAGGGAGTGGGAGATGAGGGAAGGTTGTGGGAGGGTGGGAAGTTATGGGGGGAAAAAGCCATTGTAATCCATAAATTGTACTTTGGAAATTTATATCTACTAAATAAAAGATAAAAAAAAGAAAAGCTACTCACTGCAAATATGAAACATGATTAACACAGAACAGCCCATTTCCTGGGACCAGCAACATCAATATCACCCAGGAACAAGGCCTACCTACAGAACTAAAGCAGAAATTCTGAGGGTTTTCATACAAATTAGAGTTATCATTCAACAAAGATACAGAGTGTCTGTGTTTCACATAATATATAAGTAAGTGAGGTTACAAAAACAAGTATAAGTTAATATAGCTTAACTAACAAAACAAAAGGTACTGAAAATGGTTGGATGACAGAGCCTGCATGATTAGGAAACTCATGGTCTACTGGCTATATTTTTTCCCAAAGAGCATGCAGGTTATGATGTCTCCTGAGCTGGGATTTTCTGCTTGACTAAGAAAATTCATTTTGCCTGGTCAGGCTGATCCTGTCATTTTTTACTAATCAGCAGTTACGATTTAAATGTAACAAACATGGGGACTGGTATTGCGGCACAGTGGATGACACCACTGCCTGTGACGCCTGTGGGTGTCCCATCTGCTGTACTTCTGATCCAGCTCCCTGCTAATGAACTGGGAAAGCAGCAGAGGAGAGCCCAAGTGTTTGGGTCCCTGACACCCACGTGGGAGACCTAGATGAAGCTCCTGGTTCCTGGCTCCAGCCTGTCTCAGCCCTGGCCATTGTGGAAAGAACCAGTGGATGGAAGATCTTTCTCTCTCTCTCTGTCTCCCTAACTCTGAGTTTCAAAAATTACATAAACCTTTAAAATTTCAATAAATCCATTCTAAATAAGATAAATCCTTCATTCTTTCAAAAAGAAATGGGAAACCATGTAGAAAGAAGAAAAACAACCCAGCAGGGTGATTGCAATCCTCCAAGACTGCCTTCAGGGATATGTGAATGGCACAGTTTCTTCACTCTGTCTATATCCCAATATTGTCAAAGTACACACCAAATGTTTCACTTAAATGATGTGAAGCCTTCTTGTGTGCTATCTTGTACAACACCAGCTTCCCAATGGGTAGGATGCAGCTATGAGATAGCAAATGGCAGAGCAAGAAATTTTATCTGGTTTTCCTTTGATATCAGGTCGTTTATCAAAAATTGGTATCAAATGATTATTTGGAAATATTATAGCCTGAGTTTTTCTGAAAACAAGAGTAATGCTAACAAATATATACATCTGAAAACTCCCATTCTTGCTCTAGCAAAGAAATTTATCAAAATTCTCTATACTGAGCAAATCAACTTACCTCCTGAGGTGGAGAAAAGCTGTGTAACACTGTTTACGGAACTCCTGGTACTGTTCACTCTGTGTGCCCCCCATTCCTTCTACCATTTCTTTATTCAGCTTCATTGGAGGAGGAAGAGGCTTTGGATCTCGACCCAAAATATATCCAAAGTCTATGTGGAAGAGTTTTCCTGGATGTTGACAAGAAATTCATTTGTTTCAAGAATTAATTTAAAGAACTAGGAAAGGAATATGTCACATAATCATATAGGCAGTATGTCTATGCAAAGAGTATTTAGTTCATGATGAAACCTATTACAAGGTTTGATTTTCTAATTCCAGAATAGGCAGTAGCCTTCAGAGCACATTTAGTTCATTTTAACTCACATTCATTCAGATGAAACCATGCTTAAAAATCATTCCATGGTAACATTAATTTAAAAATGTATTCTCTGTTTTTAGGTGTCCAGACTCAGACAGTCAAAACCCAGGTAATACTTTAAGGTATCAGCCAAAAGTAGAATCTTGTAACAAATTTCTCATGCTACAGTTTGAGCCAAGTGCAATCCATAACTAAAAATTTTAAAGCAGTTCAAGCACAAAAAAGTTGTCATAGAATCTCCATGTGGAAGATGATAAAAGGATACAACTCAAATTCACTCTAAAGGATCTGTACTATTTTCATACTGAAAGTGGCAATTTAGTTTAAATATTACATGATCTCTCATGCTAATGTTGAACTAAACTTTATTAATTGGCAATACAGATTTAATGTATAAATTTATAAATGTCTTCACTGTACAGTTACAGAATAATGGTCATATAGTAGTATGAGGTTTTATGTTATACATTATTTAAGATTATAAACTACATCAACATGAGGGGTTTCATTTCCATTTAAGAAATTTATGTATCACGCATGACTGTAGAATACCTTTTCAGAGTCCAAAAATGGACTTCAGTAGTCTCTTAAGCATAATGAAATGCAGTTTTGGAGAGATCTATACACCTCACCAGAATTCCAGCGGGAGACTGATTTTAAAAATATAAGGAAGGAGACAGCACTGGGGAGCAACAAGTTACAATGCAGCACGCAATCCTGGCATTCTACATAGGAGTCCTGGCTCCTTCCTAATGCTGCTGAGAAAGCAGCTGAAGAGAACTTAAATACCTGGGCTCCTGCCATCCATATGGGATACCAGGATGAGGTTCCTGACTCTGGGCTTTAGCCTAGCCCAGATGCTGTGGGCATTTGGGAGGTAAACCAACACATGAGCAGATGGAAGATCCACCTCTCTATCTCTTCCCCCAACCCTTTTTTTTTCCTCTTAGGCAGAGAGAAAGAAAGAGAGGGAGAGGGAGACAGGGAAGGAAAGGAAGGAAGAAATGATGGAAGGGGCAGTTCCAAGATGGCAGAAAAGGGAGGGAGCTTACTGATCTAGTCCGGGAGAAGACCGTTTTTAAAAAAGTGGAGATAGTGTAATATCAAGGAAGAGTTAGGGAAAAAACAGCACAGGAAGCTCTACCGAAATTAGAGGAACATGCTAGATCTAAATGGAGGGTGTGGGCGCCCACGGCTTGGGACTCCAATAGCCGAGAGCCTCCACACCAGCGCTGGAAAGTGAGGTGAGACGAAACTGCGGTAGCCTGAGACACTGGCAAAAAAGTGGCAGGAAGAGCCTAGAGGGAAGGAGGCTTGAAGCCCCATGGGGGAAAGTGCAATACACTAAGTCTCTCCAATCACCTTTTAAAGGCATACAAGCCAATAGAGCAGGCATCATTTTGGACATCGTAACAGTTGCACCACCTCATGTCTGTGCCAGCAGTCAGCCGAGCAGAGACTCCTGACACTGGTGGGGAGAAGTAACAGGGGGCTGGGAGCTTCTGACTGTGTGAAGCTTCTGAACTGGGGCTTTGAAAAAAAGAAAAAAAAACTGAAGGTGTGTGGGAGAACTCACAGTGTGGCTGAGACTTTGAGCAGTCTCAGTGGGAGACGCCACAAGCTGTGGAGGGCCTCGGTTACCGGGTGAAAGACATTGCTGGGGAATCTGAACTTACACTGAGGACTGCACAGATCCTTTGTGTGGTCCTTGGGACAAAACAGACGAATATTATACCCACTGGGGCTAGCACTTAGGTACTGGTCTCCATCAAGAAGAGCTCAGCTGAGCAGAATTACTTCCCTTTTGATTAAAAAAAGAGAGAGATTTACCATGCCAAACCTGGTGTGTCACCTTAGGCATGCCCTTAACCCTGGAGAACTGAACAGAGCTCTCTGGCCACACCTTCTACAAGCCTTTAGAGATTGAGTGAAAGCAGACAGTCCACTTAACTAGAGAGCCATAGTATAAGGATAAAAGCCACCAGAGCATAAAAAAAATAATAATAAAAAGAAGAAACCAACAAGTGTCTCCACAAATGCCAAACAACAAGTGCAACAACCCAAGAAACAATAAGGAAGACAACATTATGCTTCCAAAAGAACACGACATTTCAACACAAGATTATGAAGATGATGAGATAGAAGAAATGCAAGAAATGGAACTCAAAAAAATGATGATAAAGTTACTTAGAAATAATCCAAAGCAAACGCAGGAACTCCTGAAATCCATGCAGGACATGAAAGAAAACTGCTCTCACAAAATTTAAAACTTAAAGAGGAATCAAAATGAAATGAGTAATTCAATAGAACATGACACTGAGATACTGAAATCAAAATGAAATGAAGAATTCAATAGAACAAATAAAAAATGCAGTTGAGAGCATTAAAAATAGAATCAGTGAGGCAGAAGACAGAACATCAGACTTAGAAGAAAGAACACAGGAAAGTATGCAGTCAAACCAAAGTCAAGAAGAAAAAATTAGAAATCTAAAAAATATTGTTGAGAATCTACAGGATACTTTTAAAAAACCCAGCATTCAGGTTCTAAGAGTTCATGAAGGCATGGAGAGAGAGAAAGGATTACAAAGCCTTTTTAGTGAGACACTAGCAGAAAACTTCCCGGGTTTGGAGAAAGAAAGAGACGTCCAAGTACAGGAAGCACACAGAAGTCCCAATAGACATGAGCAGAAAAGATCCTCACCATGACACATTGTAATCAAACTGACCACAGTGAAACATAAAGAAAAGATTCTAAAATGTGCAAGAGAGAAGCACCAGATTACTTTCAGAGGATCTCCAATTAGACTCACAGCTGACTTCTCTTCAGAAACACTGAAGGCTAGGAGAGAATGGTGAGATATAGCCCAAGTCCTAAGAGAAAAAAACTGTCATCCCAGAATATTATAACCTGCAAAGCTCTCAGTTGTAAATGAAGGTAAAATAAAGACCTTTCATAGAAAATAGAAATTGAAAGAATTTGTCACAACTCGTCCAGGCTTGCAAAAGATGCTTAAAGATGTGTTACACACAGAAATACAGAAACACAGTCATCAATATGAAAGAAGATAAAGGAAGAAAATCTCTCAGTAAAAGATCACAGGAAGTTCAAAGTATAAATTAAAAATATCTTGGGAAAAATGGCAGGGTGAAGTCACTACTTACCAACAGTCACATTGAATGTAAATGGCCTCAACTTTCCAATTAAAAGTTACAGACTGGCTGAATGGAATAAAAAACAAAACCCATGTATGTGCTGCTTACAAGAAACACCTTTCCAACAAAGGTGCATGTAGACTAAATTGAAAGGTTGGAAAAAGATATTCCATGCCAACAGAAACCAAAAAAAGAGCTGGCATAGCCATCTTAATATAAGACAAAATAGACTAGACTATAATTAAAAAAATTGTTAAGAGACAAAGAGAGGAACTATATAATGATCAAGAGATCCATTCAACAGAAAGATATAACTATTATAAACATATATGCACCTAATTACAGGACATCGGGCTATTTAAGATATGTTAACGGATCTAAAGGGGGACTTAGACTCCAATACAATAGTATTGGGGGACTACAATACTCCACTTTCAGCAAAGGATAGATCAACCAGACAGAGAATCAATAAGGAAATAGGAGATTTAATCGACCCTATAGCCCAAATGCATCTAACAGATATCTACAGAACTTTTCATCCTATACTTGAAGAAGACACATTCTTCTCAGCAGTACATGGAACTTTCTCTAGGATTGACCACACACTAGGCCATAAAGCAAGTCTCAGTAAATTCAGAAAAATCAAAATCATACCATGCATTTTCTCAGATGACAATGGAATGAAGCTGTAAATCAGCAACTCAGGAATCTTTAGAACATATGAAAACACATGGAGACTAAAAAACATGCTCTTGAATGAACAGTGGGTCATAGAAGAAACCAAAAGAGAAATCAAAAACTTTCTGGAAGCAAATGAAGATAAGTAAACAACATACCAAAACTTATGGGATACAGCAAAAGCAGTGTTAAGAGGAAAGCTTATAGCAATGGGTGCCTACATCAAGAAATTGGAAAAGCACCAAATAAATGAGCTATCAACGCATCTCAAGTATCTAGAAAAACTACAGCAAATCAAACCCAAAACTAGTAGGAAAAGAGAAATAATTAAAATTAAAGAAGAATTCAACAAAATTGAATCAAAAAAAAAATTACAAAAGATCAGCAAAGGGGGCCAGTGCTGTGGTTCAGTGGGTTAAAGCCCTGGCCTGAAACACCAGCATCCAATATGGACGCCGGTTCGAGTCCCGGCTGCTTCTCTTCCGATCCAGCTCTCTGCTATGGCCTGGGAAAGCAGGAGACAATGGCCCAAGTCCTTGGGACCCTGCACCCGCGTGGGAGACCCGGAGGAAGCTCCTGGCTCCGGAACAGCACAGCTCCAGCCGTTGTGGCCAATTGGGGAGTGAACCATCGGATGGAAGACCTCTCTCTACTCTGCCTCTCCTCTCTCTGTGTAACTCAGACTTTCAAATAAATAAAATTAATCTTTTTAAAAAAAGATCAGTCAAATAAAGAGCTGCTTTTTGAAAAAATAAACAAAATTCACACACCTTTGGACCTACTAATGAAAAAAAGAAAGAATACTCAATTCAATAAAATTAGAGATGAAAAAGGAAGTGTAACAACAGACACCACAGAAATAAAAAGAGTCATCAGAAATTACTACAAAGAGTTGTATGCCAACAAACTGGGAAATCTAGCAGAATTGGATAGATTCCTGGACACATACAACCTACCTAAATTGAACCATGAAGACAT